TGAGCAGTTATGATGCTGGTGAGCTACCTTAGATCCTGGTTGTCGAATGGTTTCTTCTATGCACCTCCTCAATGGCTAGGACCACAGGACTCCACAGTCTCCTATAACTGAGGGTGGATTCCAAAGGTTACTTTCTCCTAGGGCTGTGCACGTGTAGTCAGCTCCTGAGAACAAGGGTCTCCTTAGGTTGCCCTTTGATTGTCTCTGCCTAGTCCCACTCCTGCAGTGCAAGAAACCGCAGTATTGAGGAAGGTACTTTGAACAACCTTGAGTTCAAATTTAGGTTCTGTCATTTACCAGTTATGTGGCTTTGGGCTTTGGGTAAGTTAACCTTTTGGACCTTCAGCTTCCCCTCTCCAAAAGGAGACAAAAATGCCTGCTATATAGGATTGTTGTGAGGTTTAAATAATATTGTAGGTGTACGTTGTTAATAAAATGTAGATAGCTTACCATTTATTTATTTATGTATGGTACCAGGGATTGAATCCAGTGGTGCTTAATCACCAAGTCATATCCCCAGCCCTTTTAATATTTTTATTTTGAGACAGGACCTCGCTAATCTCTGAGGCTGGCTTTGAACTATCAGTCCTCCAGCCTCAGCCTCCGGAGACTCTGGGATTATTACAGTAGGCGGATGCCACCATGCCCAGTTTACTTTTTCTTTAAATAAGACAATATCCTATACTAAGCTTTGTAATGGGTCTAAAGGTAAAGAAGACATGGCATTGGCTCCAAATATCTTAGCATCTGGTGGGAGATAGACATTTCCACTTAAGCATGCTAGAGTGTCACCTTCTGCCTGAAGAGTTTAAAAGACCCTACAACAAGTGGCCTGGGGTTGTGGCTCAGTGATAGAGTGCTTGCCTGGCATGTGTGAGACACTGGGTTCAAACTTCAGCACCACATATAAATGAATAAGTAAAATAAAATTTCAAACATTCAATGACAATGTTTATACACACACACACACACACACACACACACACACACACACACACACCCTACAAGTTCCAAAATTTTTTCTTCACAGCAAATCACAGTCATTATTGGGGATCTCTGTGCCTGGTCCCTCCCTGGGGCTTAAATCCAGGGCTCTGCGAGAAGGAGAGGAAACATTCAGCTGCCAGCAGACCAAGGTGGGAGAGGGAAGGAGAACACCTGAGCCAGGGAAAGGGCTGTGGCTGGAGGCTCTGCAGGGGCCCTTGCCTTCTGATAATTTACTCCTGAAACAGAGGCCATCCTCCCAGTGTGGTCACCAGGGTTTTGGCCTCTGCATCCCCTACCCCTGACCTGGCTAAAACAGGCAGGAGATGGAAATGGATTTGCTTGTGTTCACATAACCAGTGAGTGATGCAGCCAAGGGTTTGAAGTTGGGCATCTGCCTCCAGGCCTCTGCCTGTCACCTTTCTGTATTCTTCTTTTTACTGTCTTCCTGTCCCAGTTATAGGGCAAGCTTTTTATATATATGGAGAAGGGGAGGGGGAGGGTTTATTTAGCTCACATTTGTATGTTCAAAGTCCAACACCAGACAATCCCATTTGTTTGGCATCTGGTAAGAGCACATCATGGCAGGAGCAAGAGTAGGAATCACATCTCAAAGAGGAGCAGAGAGAAAAGAGAGGCGCCTGGCCAGTCATGCTCTTTTTTGGGGGGTGGGGGTACCAGGATTGAACTCAGGGGCACTCAACCATTGAGCCACATCCCCAGCCCTATTTTTTATTTTATTTAGAAACAGGGTCTCACTGTGTTGCTTAGCACCTCACTTCTGCTGAAGTTGCCTTTGAACTCATGATCCTCCTGCCTCAGCCTCCTGAGCCACTGGGATTACAGTTTTGTGCTACCACTCCCACTGTCTTGCTCCTTTTATGACAATCCTCTTGCAAGAAATCAAGAGATGGCATGAGAACTAACTCTTGTCCCCAGTGACCTCCTTAAGACCTCCTTCCAGGCCCCATCTTCCAAAGTTTCCATCACAATCCAACTTTTTTTTTTTTTGTACCAGGGATTAAATTCAGGGGTGCTTAACCACTAAGCCACATCCCCATCTTTTTTTTTTCTGTATTTTATTTAGAGACAAGTTCTTACTGAGTTGCTCAGGGCCTTGTTGAGTTGCTGAGGCTTCGAATTTGCAATCCTCCTTTCTCAGCCTCCTGAGCTGCTGGGATTACAAAGAGCAATCTTTTAGATAGCAGGCTTAATGGCTGAGAGAGGGGGACTTTTTTCTTAGGTTATGTCCTTAGGTGAACAGCGTGGTTATAGGTGTCATAACTTCCAAAATAAGCTTGTTGCAGCCAGGTTAGAGATGGCTCCAGTAGTGGGATGTGCCTCCTTAGAGGACGCTCTCAGGGACTGGCAAATGAATGATGGATTGTGGGCGCCAACATGACCCCGGGCTCACTCTCAGAGATGTTTGCTAAAAGTGTTTCTGGCTCTGTTGGGACATGTGTCCTTGGAGACCTGCCATCTGGGTGGTGAAGGTACAGCTTTATAGATCCATGTAGCTTTTTAGAGTATGGCAGAAAACCAGGCAATCCCCAGCAATCCTCAGGCACACACTGGCTGCTTGATGGTGTGTGAGTATGTGAGACAGAGAAGGGGGAGGAGTGGCTCCCTCTGCATGGCTCTAGAGATGGGATGGAATGGTTATCTAGGAAGACCTGTCACCTCCCCAAGCCTGTCAGAAGGGAAGTTTGAGAATTCCAAGTAGATGGTTTCCACAGAGTGAGAGTAAAAGATTTGGTGGGAGCAGAAGCTCATAACCCAAAAGGAAATGTGAGGATGAAGAAGACATGCAAAACCTGCTGTGCATAATCTTTTTAAAAATTTTTAGTTATAGATGGACACAATGTCTTTATTTTGTTTATTTATTTTTATGTGGTGCTGAGAATCGAACCCAGTGCCTCACATATGCAAGGCAAGCACTCTACCATGAGCTATAACCCCAGACTAGCTGTGCAAAATCTTAATTGCTAACAGTTCTAGTTCCTGGAGCTGGGCTTTGGTGCATTATTTCACTTAATCTTCACAGTATTCACAGTACTGTTATCATTCTCATTTTACAGACAGGAAAACCAAGACTAGAGAGGTTAACTGATTGCCCAATGTCACAGTGAGTGAGTGGTGGCACAAGCCTATCATCTCAGCATCTATGGTACCCACCAACTAGCACCCAGAGCCAGAGACACCTTTAGGGAAATCTAATTCAGCCTTTTCATAATAAGATAGGAAACTGAATGCCAGAAAGCAGCTGAATGTCAAGGCCAGACAACTGGTCAGCCTAAGCTTTGCCTGCAAGACCAGGGTGAGGTAGGGAGGCTCCTTAGGGTACAGAATTTAAGTGGCATTCACTCTCGGGTGCTCATGATGCAATTGCACGACCCTGAGAGCGAAGGCCTCCTTCCATGTGGGGCACCTGGTTTTGTGGTATGAACAGACGCAGCATGGCTTTATTCATTTGATTTGATACCTCAACTTGAGGAACTGATGGGACTGTCTGTATGGAACTGTTTAGGGCCAATACTCCAAAGCCGATTTTTACCACAGCCCTTGGTGGATGGTTAATTTCTGGTTGAGACCACAGGAGGGGAACAAACTGGCCCTAGCAGATAGGGTTGACACTTAGAGACCCCTGATCCTGTCATTATAAATCAGCTGGCAGAGTGAAGTCCATGGTGAAGGAGACACTACATCTCTCTGGACCCCACTGGACTGAAATAAGGAAGTCACAGGAGAAGCTCCTAGGGGAGGGGCTTGCCCCATCACAGCCTTAATGATGGTTGGTCAGGAGCCGGTGAGAGGAGGCTAGGGGCTGGGAAACCTGTCTGGAGATCTTTTCCCACAGCCTCAGACAATACGCCTGTTTTATTTGCAAAATTCCTCCTGGTTTGGGGCGGGAGTGGTGTACAGTCACCAGTCTTAAGCCTGAGCATTCCCATTTTAATTCAAGAAGGAAAGAAGACAAACTCCACCAGCAAAGACCCTGCCTACATACCATTGCCCCTGTAAGTAGGAGTCCCCGAATTTCTTGGAGAAGGGCAGAGGGTGGAAGAAAAGGGCTTTCCCCCATTGCCTGGCCTTGTTAGGAGTGCTGCAGGGATCCGGGCGGCTTAAGGTGCTGTCACAGGAGAGGTCTTCTTACTTTGGCTCTGGGCTCAGGGGCATGCGAAGAGCCTCAAAGCGAAGAGCCTCAAAGCGGGAGGCTGGCCTCAGGCGCCCTAGCATTTCTCAGGTCAGCGGAGCCCAGTCTCATGCTGCGGATAGGCAGAGGTGGTCTAGACCTCGCCGCTGGAGTAGCCCTCAGCAAGGCACATTCCTTGCTGTGAGAGCCCCAGTTTCCTCATCTCACCAGGAGCTGCTCAGCCCTACTTGGGTTTTGACATTCTGAGTTCTTTTGCTTTCTTGCCTTTTCCCAGCCCAGACATTTCTCAAGTCCCTGCCTTGAGTACCAATCTCCAGAACTGATCCATCTGTGTCCCTGCAGTTGAAAGTATGACCTGGGGGGGGCGGGTGGTGTGTGTGCCAAGGGCCCCCTTCAACCCCTGTTGAGTACCCCTCCGCCCCCTTCCTGAGCTTCAGGAGTAGGTGCACAGGCCACTTTGATTCACCAGGAGGTAAAGGGGAACTTGAGAAGAGAAAAGAGAGACGAGATGCGAGAAGGTTAAAAAGAGGAAATGGAAAAGAGAAAAGAGGGAGCAGAAAGGGACAGCAAAAGAACGCAAGGGGTGTGGGGACAGAGAGATGCTGGAAAGAAGAGAACCAGAGAAAAAGGAAAGCGAGAGAGAGAGAGAGAGAGAGAGAGAGAGAGAGAGAGAGAGAGAGAGCGAGCGCGCGCGCATGATCAGGTTCTGAAAGGACCAAAGAGGGAGAAAGGGGTGAAAAAAGAAGAAGAAGAAGGGGGTGGGAGAGCGAGCGAGAGAGCTGCTAGCAGGGAGGAGGGAAGCTGGAAGGGAGGGAGAGAGAGGAGGGAGGGACCGAGGGACGGAGGGGGTGGGGGCTGGCTCGGCAGCAGAATCCGCCGCGGCTCCTGCTTGCTCGCTCACTCGCTCGCGGTGCCCGCCGCCCGTCGCCCGACTCTGGGCAGCTCTCAGCTCCCGCACTTGGCCCAGCTATCTGGAGCAGCTCGGGCTCCGGAGGACTGGACCGCGCAACTGGCTGGCTGAGCCCTGGGCGGGCCGCGGAAGCAGGTAGGTGGCTGGGTGGAGTCCGCGAGGATGCGGAGCCTCGGAGCGCCAGGGGTTCAAGGGGACAGGAATGTGTTCCAATCCTGGGGAGGGGGCTTTGCAGCCTCGCGACTAACTTTCCATCTGCTCCGTGGATCCCCGCTACCTGGTCCGGGCCCAGGTCCAGGCTTCGGAAGCCGAGTTTGGCGCGGGTAGGAGGTGAATGCTGGGACGTGTGGAAGCGCCAGGGGGTCCGGGCAGGATGTGTGGCGCCCTGGCGTGGGCAGGCGCGCGCCCTCCGGCCGCAGTCAGGACGCAGCGTCCGCCGCGCCTCCACGTGCGGGGGAAGACCTGAGAGCAGCAGGGTGGCGCGGGTGTCCCGGGGAGGGCGCCCGTCAGCGCCCGAGAATCTGGGGACTCCCGCCCCGGAGCCGCCCGGGGTGCACCGGCTGTAAGCACTGCACCCACGCCCTTCCCGCCCGGGTCCGGACGCAGAGCCGGCGGGCACGCGGGCAGATTCCCAGCAGTAGCCAGCGGTGCGCCTCGCCGCTGCCAAAGCCCAGTCAGTGCCACGCGCTCTTTGGCTTTTGGGAGGCGCGGAAGCGGAACGTATGCCCGCATCATTTTCTTGGTATCCAGTCTCCTCGACTCACTTCAGGGAATCTGGAACGCCCAACTGCCCTGTGGGTTGGTTATCAGACATCCCTCTTGTCTTTGCCGGCGACCCTAGCTCCTAAAGTTAAAGGAAACCAATCCCTCCTAGCGCGCTCCTGGATCGCGGTTCCGAAGTTCCCAACTTCTCTCCCAGCCGTGGGCGGTAGTGTTGGAGGTGGAGATAAGGATGGTCGTCGTGGTCCCTTCAAGCTGCCCAGCGCAGCAGCCTTCCTTCTTGGCTTGGGTTTATTTTCCTACTTTGTTAGAAGGAAAAATTACTTAAAAATAGGCAAAAATTGTTCCTTGCGGGCGTCAGGGACTGCGAGTGGGAAAGAGCCATCACCCGTCGCGAGCTGGGAGCTCGGAGCCTCCTTATGGTTGTATCTATCCCGCGCCTTCGAGCCCCTGCTCTTTTCTCCCGGATTTGGACCCCCGGCTGCACTCTGCAGCCCTGTCTCCGGATGCGTTCCCACTAGACCGCGCCAGGCGAGGCTAGTTTGAGTCCTTCCCGGTGGCCACGTTCTCAGGAAAGATCTGTCAAAGTGGATCCGCTTTAGGTTCTTCCACTCTGTGTCCCTGGAGCAGATCGAGTAGGGCCTCCGGCGGGTTGGGATCCGGGCCATCTCGGCTTGCTCTGCCAAGGGTACTCATGCCCCTTCCTGCACCCTGCCGGGGAAACATGGGTTAATGTACCGGCCAGGTGGCGGCGCGCGGCAGCCGGCTGGGGCTCTCGGATCCTGCGGGAGGCGCGGTTCCTCTTGCTCTCCTCTCGGGATTTGCCGACCCGTGCGGTTTCCTGGAGAGAGCGGGGTCTCCGCCTTGCAGCCCTCTTTGTTGATGTACGTCTGAGAGGTTTAGCGAGGCCAAAAGCTGGGGTTGTTGCTGATAGGGTTACTCCCGGCCCTTGCTCCTTGCGGGTTGGGGAGGGTGCCCCAGGGCGCTGGACCTACCATGCAGCGCTCCATCCCCCTGCTCCTTTGGCGGGTTTCCCCCGTGCGCACTACGCACCAGCTCTCTCTCTCTGTAGCTCGAATATCGGTTTAAGCCTCTAGAAATTTGAAGTCTACAATGTCAGTCTTCACCTCTTCCTCCCATTCCATAAATCAGCAGATTGAGACCCAGAGAAGTAAAAGGACGCCCTGAGAGCTGGTTAAGGATGGAAGGGAAGTAACCAGCTCTCCTGACTCCCAGTTCAGGGCCTTTTCTAACATGCCACTCGGACTTTACCGTGGGGCAGGTATTTCCAGCAGGCCGCTGCATACCTTGTCAGGTTGGAGGGCTACGAATGTTGGAGAGAGATTAGGAGCCCAGGACTGGTCTCTGGATTCTTTTAATTAGGTGCCTTGCTGTGAACAACTCCCAGGAGGAACTTTTTTTTTTTTTTTTTTTTTACATATCTTAGTTGGTGCATTATAATTATACATAATTGTAGGACTTATGTGCATATATGTACACGCACACAATGTAACAGCATAATTTGGTCAATATCATTCCCCAGTACCTCCCCCTTTCCCTTCCCTCTTTCCTCCCCCGGCTTTCCTCAACTCAACTGGTCTCCTTTCTATTTTCACAACACCCACTCCTCACCTTTTTCCTCCCTCTTTTCTCTCTAGTACATGTAAGAAAATATGGGGCTGGGCTTGTGGCTCAGTGGTAGAGCGCTTGCTTAGCACTTGTGAGGCACTGGGTTCGATCCTCAGCACCACATAAAATCAAAATAAAGGTATTGTGTCCACCTACAACTAAAAAAATATATTAAAAACACAAAGCCTGTGACCCTGATTTTCTTCTGAGTTTGGCTTATTTTGCTTATCAATACTCTTCAGTTTCATCTAGGATGAATGATTTATGTGGCTGTTTGTTGCATACCTAGAGTACACCTGCTCTGGAGTCTGGGGGTAAAAGGAGCTCACAGGCCTGGCTCCCCTGTAGTGTGTAAGCCACAGGGAAGGAGTAGCCATTGTTTTGTAGCTGAAGAGTGCATAGAGACCTGGGTGAGATCACTTCTGGAGGGCAAAATTAGGAATAGTCCCTGGAGAAGGTAGAATGTGAAACTGAGCTTCAGGTAGATTTGCAACTGGGGAGGAGGACTGTGGGGCCCAGAGCTCCAGTACTAAAAGGGAGGCAGGCAAGTTCCAGTAAGAGTTGTTCAGCTGTTGGTCAAGGACATCAGAGTCAAGGTCAATGAGAACTCAAGCTCAGAAACTGGCCTCAGAGGTCTTTTAGTTTGAGGTGAAGGAGGGTGAGGACTTGGCCGAGAAGTCAGCATCCTGTCAACCAGGGGTTGTGGCACCTTTTCTTTTTCTGTTTCCCGTTGTTCCCCCCACCCCGTCATTTCTTTGCCCCTTTCCAGCTATAACTTTTAGAATCAAGATATTTGAATGTTCTGGGCTTCCTATGGCCAGGGCATTTGCTGTAGTAGGAACATTTAGTCAATAAGTAGCTCTGGAGTGCCTACTTAGTGCCTGGTGTCTGTAAGGACCCAGATGTTACAACCATGAATCACACAGGGGGCGTCCCATACCTCAGATATCTCACCTCTGCCCTGTCGCAGTCTCAGGGTCTTGCTGCAGTGCGGAGGCAAATATGCAAGGGATATGGGAAGCAGTGCTGAAGTGGATGATATAACAAAAAACATACCCAGCTTCCCTCTGGTGGTGGCTCAAAGCTCTGAGGTGGAAAGGTAGGAAGCTATTGGCAATGAGATTTGGAGATTCTCTCCAAATTCTCTCCATGCCCCCAGCTTCTGGTTGCCAGGGTGACCCAAGGCAATTGTATTGATGTGGCATTGGAGAACTGCTCTGCAGAGCTTTTACCAGACGAAGAATGATGTGTGTGTGTGTGGTGGGGGGAGCTGGGTGAGTGCTGGTAACTGTGATCTTGCTAGGTATCCATAGAGACTGGTGCCAGGTAACCATGTGCCCATTAAATCCCAGCTTTGGCAGCTGCTTGGTGAAGTGTGCAACCCCATTTTGCAGATGGGTAAATGGAGCCCTCAATCTGTAGATTGGGACAGCTATGCAGTGAGAGAAGGTAGACCCTTATAGAATTAGGTGTCTTTGATTTCTGATTCAAGTTAAAATGATGGTCTTCCTATTTTGTAGAATAGTGGTTCTCAGACTTTGGCATGGAGGGATGGTGCAAACACGGATTATTGGCCCCCACCCTCAAAGTTTATGATTCGGTGGGTTTGGAGTGGGCCCTGGAGTTGTTTGCATTTCTAAACAGTTTCCAGGTGATGCTGATGAGCGCAGTCCTGAGACCACACTTTGAGAACCCATGTGGCAGAATGGGAAGATGAGTGATTTCCTTAAGACTATGCTAGGGGGAAGGGGAGAGCCTGGAACAAAGGCTGATTTAGCTCCAAGAACTCTAGGACTTGCCTATGTATACTCCCCTCCCCCTCACCCCCCAGGTGGCCATGGAATTAAAGGAATATTTTATCTTCATCAGCACACATACAGAGAGTGAATATATTGCAATGTAATTAGGAAATAAATAGGTGTTGTGTGTTGGATGTAGATTCTGTGCCCTGTGGCTCTGTGGGGGTTTATTATAGCAGTGTTATAATTGAAAAGGTGTCATCCACTCCGAGAACCCCTCATGAAACTTTCATGGCCTGGGTGGTCATTGTCCAAAAAGACATGGCTTCTTCATTTAAAAGAAAGAAGTCAGAGAGATCGCTTCTCCTGCTAATGGGACTCGCTGTGTTTCTTTTTTGACAGTAACTATGCATTGTGTTCGTAGGGGAGAGGGGAAAAAAATGAACAGCTGATGCAGAGACTACAGGAAGTCCACATCACATGTATACAGATCTCTTGGTTGAGCATTTCAAAATGTGTTGCAACTGTCTGTCTGTCTGCTTGTCTGGATTTCTGATCTGAGTGAAGCTGTGTCTCAGGAAGAGGAGAGTTTGTGCTTCAACTTTGCTGATGGGGTAAATCTAATAGCACACTTTATCCCCAACATGTTAATTAGACCCAAAAGAAAAGAATCATAAAAGAGTTGTTCTCCTAAATGCTGGCATTTTTCATCTGGATTCTATTTATTGATTATTTTTACAGTCGAGAAGGAGCAAAAATCCATGTTTTTATAGCAAATAAAGCTGGCTGCAGTAATTATGCAGGCTCAACATGTCTGTTCTGGAGCAGGAAGTTGGAATTCAGCCTGACTTTCAAACATTTGGGTGAGATCTAATTGAGAAAGACATTTCAAAGAACAAATATTTAGGAATGCGGAGTTTCACTGATGGTCTGTTTGGATCAAGTGCAAGTGCCTGGCTTTTAGCTTGATCCCAGGTAGTGGGGAGACAGTGGAGAAGGACTGATCAGTGATGTTAAGACTGCAGCCAAAACGTGGGGCTGAAATGT